CGCTGACTTAGTGAAAACGAGAACGGCAAAGTCCTACTATAAAAACAATCTCTGATAAGAGAGAGCAATTAGAAAGGGACTCCCCCAGGGATCGGCGTTAAGCCCCCTATTTAACTTATACCTAAAAGACATCAATAAACATGTGCGCCACGGCGTCAAAGTCATTCAATTCGCAGATGACATAACAATCTGGACTGGAGAATCCAGACAACTCATGGGCGCCCTGATGCCAGATATAGAAGGCGCCTACGATAACCTAGAACCAACGCGATTCTAGGAGGCAATGGACAATCTTAGAATACCATACGGATTAAAAATGATTATCGCTGACTTAGTGAAAACGAGAACGGCAAAGTCCTACTACAAAAACAATCTCTGATAAGAGAGAGCAATTAGAAAGGGACTCCCCCAGGGATCGGCGTTAAGCCCCCTATTTAACTTATACGTAAAAGACATCAATAAACATGTGCGCCACGGCGTCAAAGTCATTCAATTCGCAGATGACATAACAATCTGGACTGGAGAATCCAGACAACTCATGGGCGCCCTGATGCCAGATATAGAAGGCGCCTACGATAACCTAGAACCAACGCGATTCTAGGAGGCAATGGACAATCTTAGAATACCATACGGATTAAAAATGATTATCGCTGACTTAGTGAAAACGAGAACGGCAAAGTCCTACTACAAAAACAATCTCTGATAAGAGAGAGCAATTAGAAAGGGACTCCCACAGGGATCGGCGTTAAGCCCCCTATTTAACTTATACGTAAAAGACATCAATAAACATGTGCACCACGACATCTCAAAGTCATTCAATTCGCAGATGATATAACAATCTGGATTGGACAATCGAGACAACTCATGGGCGCCCTAATGCCAGACATAGAAGGCGCCTACGATAACCTAGAACCAACGCGGTTCAAGGAGGCAATGGACAATCTTAGAATACCATACGGCTTAAAAATGATTATGGCACACTTAGTGAAAACGAGAACGGCAAAGTTCTACTATAAAAACAATCTCTGATAAGAGAGAGCAATTAGAAAGGGACTCCTCCAGGGATCGGCGTTAAGCCCTCTATTTAACTTATACCTAAAAGACATCAATAAACATGTGCGCCACGGCGTCAAAGTCATTCAATTCGCAGATGACATAGCGATCTGGACTGAGGAAAGATGGCGAAGCACGCCGTTGAAAATTCCGAATGCTGTATAATCAAAAACAGTGATAAATGGTACGCCCAAAACAAAAATAGCGACTAATAATCTTCAAAATAAGGAGCTTAACAGACCACATATATAAGGAAAAGGAAAAAGCTACCGAAAGTTTCAAACATCACAACAAAAGGTGAGACGAAAAAACAAAGGCCGGTCGAGGCTAAGGCCCACCACGTGGCACCAACTATTACCCACAGGTAAGCAGAATAGTTTACAGCCCATTAAATGATAAGAAAAACACAAGACCAACAAAACCAAAGTACACCAAAGACAAGAAGAAAACACAACAAAACAAAGCACAACTAATACACAACACAAGATATACAATCAAAATCAAAGAAAGGACTAGCCAAAGTTCCCGGGTAATTAACAAAAACTAGATAAAAATGGAACTTAGAAAAGGAAATATCAAAACCGCCCAACTAATGACAACACGGAACAACGAGACGACTGGATTAGGAGACAATATAAAAGAACAAAGGAAACAATACAATAAAGACGAAAGGAGACGAATAGACACGTACATAAACTTCCCTCAAAAAGAGCAAATAGTAGACATAACAGGAGACACAGGTTCAGATAAGGATAAAATCAGCTGGGGCATATTAGACAGGGATAGGGACAAATTACAGCAGGAAGGACACCGACCTACCTCCCCATCACATCATGACAAACATAGACAAGAGTAACAACCCAAACGCCAGCCGTGACAACAGCAATATCAACGAAAATATTAACAAAAATAACGAGACAAGTACAGAGGACCCACGACAACCAAACAAATATAGAATAAACTTCATAAAAAAAGCCATTGCCTTTGCCAATGCCAACCGATACAGACCAGACAGTGTAAACCCCTACAAAATACACATCACCCACAAAAACACAGACACCAACATTGGAAACGTACACAGAATGCAGATCAGCAAGAAATGATCAAGATGACACAAAAATATAAAACTAATCAGAAAGATGGATAAAACCAGGGTAATCATAGAAATGAATACAACAGAAGCCGCAAATGAACTAATAGAAAACATTCATGACACAGATCCAAACTGGATCACCTACATACCAGACCATTATATTTACAAAAGAGCAATAGTACTCAACGTAGACAGAAACATGTCTATAGAAGAAATATTCGAAGGACTCGACAGCGAAAATACAGCAATTGGATCGTCCTCGATCGATCCAATACCGTAGCGTTAATTTAGAATAATGAATAAAACATTTCTACTGCGCTAACGTTGCGAGCGTATCTGCATTCGAACCGCGCGACCCTTCGCGCCGTCATAACCTCTCCGCCAAGGGTAGAGGACCGCCATAGAACCCCCGTGCTCAAGGTGCTCGTCTCCCTTTTTTTTTTATGTTTTAGAGGTCTCTTCTTTAAGGGCACCCATCTGTCGCTTTCGATACATATGGAAACCATAGAGTCGCAGATTTTTTACTCACGAGGAAGGTACCTGAGGTGTCTCCCTCCGATTTTTTTTCATTTTTAAATATGTTATAGAGGACTAAAGTCTAAGGGATGCGTGTTTTTTTTTATCGGCGGATAAGCACTTTTAGGGAGTAAAATCAGGCTTCAAAGTTGGCCGTGCAAGGGGGTGAGTTGGCTGTTTCATATAGAAGCACTCGACCGATTTTCATGAAACAACCGTCAAAATGTAGGGAATGAAGAATTATGAAACATGCATTTGGAATTCTTCGAAAAAATTAATTTTTAAAGAGTGCGCCACCCCTTTGAATACTTCTTTTACCCCTTACGCGAGTAGTAATTGTTCTATCCAAATAAAACTTTTTTTTGTATTGTTCTGGTCTATAAATTAACCAAGTTTCAGTAGGATAGAGCAATTACTGCTCGCGTAAGGGGTAAAAGAAGTATTCGAAGGGGTGGCTCACCCCTTAAAAATGAATTTTTTCGAAAAATTCCAAATGCATGTTTCATAATTCTTCATTCCCTACATTTTGACGGTTGTTTCATGAAAATCGGTCGAGTGCTTCTGTATGACACAGCCAACTCACCCCCTTGCACAGCCAAGTTTGAAGCCTGATTTCACCCCCTAAAAGTGTTTATCCGCCGATAAAAAAAAAACACGGGTCCCTTAAATTTTAGTCCTCTATAACATATTTAAAAATGAACAAAATCGGAGGGGGACACCTCAGGTACCATCCTTGTCAGTAACAGGCTTTCCTCCAAACACAATTGCCTAAACAACCATTTATACGAAATTAATATTGCCAACTCCCCAAGCTGCAAATGCGGGGAAACACACGAAGATGAAAACTGTTTCTTAAATGCCCAAATTACGCGAACCAAAGAAATAAGGTATACGAAACGATGATGAAAGAAAAATACTTTCCCCCCTGTGACATAGATACTCTGGTAATCGATAAACTAGCATTTGAACGGGGTACAGGCAAAAAGTGTTTTATGCGTTTCTATGCTAATACGATGGGAATACGAGGTCTCGGAGTAAAAATTTAATTGACCTGGAAATCACAGATGGCGCAGGGGGTTCCTCTGCAGTCAATTAGGGCCCCAGAAAACATGAATCTAGAGGATTTCTGGAGTTTTACTCGATTTCTTTATAATTATTGTACGAAAACGACAGGTGGAGTATGCCATTTAGTACAAACCCCAATATACTTCGACCCAGCTATCAATATAAAAACGAACGTCGGCAACGTAGGTATTTAGAAAAATCATCTTTGTCGATGTCGATCAAGTTCCTGAATGTGTTTCACTTCACCTTAAATACTCCGAGAATTATTTCGTTTTTGGAATAAAACCATATAAATAGAATCGTCAAGTTCAGTTTCCATACTTTTTTGAATTTCATTGTACCTTAACTGATTTCCATGAATCAGGCTTAATCAAAATTTTCTCTTGTGGTAATTCCAGTTCAATACCCTCTTTCTCCCCTTGAAAAGTGAGCTTGGAAGCTTAGAATACATGTTATCCATCGATCTCCTTGATTTAATATTTCCAAGTCATATTCTCTCGGAACACCAATTACGCAAATGCACACCTCTTGCAATATTTGGGTGTCAACTACGTTTTCTAAGCGGTTGGGACCGATGAACTTGTTAAAATAAGATTAAAAATCGATTCAAGTGAATCCTTACTCGATAGATGTGCTTGATTTTCAGAAATTGAAACATCGATGCTGGTGCTAAATTCCAATTAAGTACTGCTAGCTGGGACGTCATCTTTCTTGGTTACGGATAAACTGCTTTCTCGTGATATGTCTGTCAGATATTCGAAGAGTAGCACCAATGGGTTCCAAATTTTGTTTTGGAAGAGGCAGCCGATTGGATGATATTTGTTGTTCACCGTAATTCATGCTCGATGAACAGACATCCCCTTTTTCACATACGATACTTTTGAAATCTAAAAGAGAAGTTTCAATTAATTATTGTAAAATCAGATGATTATTGGAGAATAATTGAATTAACATTGTGTACCTAAATTCTTGAGGTGCAGATTTGGCGTAATGGACATGGTTCTATTAATTGGTAATGGTTCGGAAGCCTGTGAGAATGGATCTTTTTGTATTTGACACTCGTATAACTGGAACTTCCTTTTTCTTTCAAGCCGTAATCAACTGGTCGACTAGTGATGTGCAATCACCCATGTCTTGAATTGCCTTCGCAATACTACCGAGACTCATGCTTTGTTCCTGTATGAGATTGACTGGACTTTGTAATTCCTTTTCTCTTTTTCACCTTTGTACAGTGATATGCTTTGTTCCATATCTTGCAGGACCTATGGAATGTTCATACTCATTAAACTAGTCTTCCTAGCCACTGTGCTAGTAATATCCACTGGAAGGTGGGTATCCTTTTCGTAACAAATTGAAATTGCTAAAATGAATCATTAAATTAAAAACCAAAAGCCCTGGACATAATGGCAGACGTAGGACTTTACCTTCTATCGACAAGGTTTGATCAACCAGTGGTATCAGATGTCCATCCTTTTTCGGAGTAGAAACCGAAAAACCATAACTTGGTCTGGGTACTGTTTCTGCTGTTGATGTGTCTCGAATTTGTCGCACTTTTTTTTTAAAGAATTCTCCAACAGACACTTTTCGACTCATACAGGATCTGAACATAATCAAGTAATACATGAAAAATGCAAGTCGTTCATGTCGATGAGAGGATTAAAATGTACTAACTCTATCATGAAATCTGGTTCTCCGATAGTTCCAAAAAAAACCTCACAAATTTAAACGCACTTTTTCTCAACTGGTTGCAATTGGTAAAGCATGTAGGTGATTTTGCTGCCACGAGGCTTCATCAGTCAATAAAAAAGACTAGCCACCCGAGAGCCCAGACTGAAATTCATTAGCAAATTGAGCCATGATTTCTGCATTAACTGTGTTGAAACTTATTCCTTTGGTGGAACTTGCTGTAATTCCTAGGTGTCTCCTTTACTCGATATCGATGAGCATTCAGTTATCTCCATTGGCTCGAAGCTAATCTAAAATATTATTGTAATTATTAATAATTTGTGTAAATAATCGCATCGTACCTTGCTACATTTTAAACTTACCCTAGCAGTGTCCAACTTAACACTAGGAGCAGGATTATTATCGTTCAACGTAGCTACATTATTTATGGGTGAACTTAGAAAATTGCTGAGACCAAGAGAAAAAGTTTGACCGAGAAGTGTGTTACCAGAACTCATTAAACTTGATGGAGTATTATCACTTGATACTTTTTGTTGATTCAGATCCTTTTCTTTGTCGATTTCTGAAAGATTTGGCAAATGTAATAGAGTTAAGAGGCCTTCAGATATTTCTGTACATACCAATATCAGAATATGCTCTTTCTTCACTGCACCTTCGAAGTATTTCCCGGGCAAGCTCTCTCTCCATGTCAATTGTACTTTTCAGGTTCAAACTTCCAGTCAACTCTCTAGTATCATCGAGCACTATAAAATGCACAAACAATGATTACATATGTCAAGTTTAACAAGATGATACATTGTATCAAATTATTGAAATGCACTAACGTGAAGAAAGATTTTCAGCAATTCCCAATGACGAGTTCTCGGAATACTTCATCTCATCGCTCAAAAGCGGTTGTTGATATCTAATATCCTTTCAATGTCTGTTAGCCATGTGTGCTGCCAATCTGAAGAATAAATTATAGGAATATATTATGTGAATTTTTTATTTTTTTTTATATAGGAAGTATTAAATGAAATTTTAATTAATTAAAATTACTTTCAAAAATCCTATGACAAAGCTTAAATTACATGAAAGTTTGAATTTTGTTTTCCAAACGGTATCTGACTATTTTCAACCAGGATTGTAATCTCAAATCTTATCAAAACTTAAAAAAATCTAAAACAAAATTCAAGTCTTACATACTTCTCCGTTCAACCGTGGACGAAACTTGTGGTTCTTCTTCTTATTCTTTGGTACGATGACTTTCGGCCAAAGTGTATAGGCCCAGTACCACAAGTTCGACTTCTTGAAATAGTTTTGCTTTTTCGTTTCTCTGTTAACTTCGTTGCTCCAGACATAGATTTAATGAACTACAGGCCTCTGAGGTTATGGCAGGGTCGAGTAAGTATAAGTCATATAATATACGTGGTTTTCTCCATGTGTACTACAACGTATAATACGTTCCTAGTCTTCTACGTGAGCACGAAATATATTCCACCGTTCTATTTCTAAATAGAAAATAATAAATCCATTTAGAAATTTGATATTAAATTGGGTTAAGTCGAAAGAATTTTGAAAACAAGCGCCAACTTATTCCTTCAACTTTTTTACGTGTTTACACATGCGCTAAAAGACTCTTATTGTATTATTTCCTTTGTTCTTTTATATTGTCTCCTAACCCAATCGTCTCGTTGTCCCGTGTTGTCATTAGTTGGGCGGTTTTGATATTTCATTTTCTAAGTTCCATTTATATCTAGTTTTTGTTAATTAACCAGGAACTTCGGCTAGTCCTTTCTTTGATTTTCACTGTATATCTTATGTTGTGTATTAGTTGTGCTTTACTTTGTTGTGTTATCTTCTTGTCTTTGGTGTACTTTGGTTTTGTTGGTCTTGTGTTTCTCTTGTATTTTTATGAGCTATAAACTATTCTGCTTACCTATGGGTAATACTTGGTGCCACGTGGCGTGCCTTAGCATGCTTTAGTCCCGACCGACCTTTGTTCCTTCGTTTCACTTTTTGTTGCCACCTTTGAAACTTTCTATAGCTTCTTCCTTTTCCTTATATCTGTGGTCTGTTAAGGTCCTTATCTTGAAGATTACTGGTCGCTATTTTTGTTTTTGGGCGTAATATTTATCACTATTCTTGATTATACAGCATTCGGGATTCTCTACGCGTCCTTCGCGCGGCCATCTTCAGCCAAGGGGTCGACACTGCCATGCAATGGGGTGTAACGGTTTATGCACTACCGCCATCTTCGGTTGGAGTAAACCTTCTTCGTGAACTAAAATATTTGGCGTGCTATTCAAATTCATTTATTAAACGAAGGGATATTTTCGGGATTTAAAAAGTACTTGCAATGATCAAAACAGACGTTGCTTAAACTGACACACAAATATAAGAAAACAGTATATTAAACATAAAAGAAGTAACAAAAGTGTCAGTGGCGCAACGCCTGTTTTAAATCACTGTAAGAACGGAAATAATTACATTAAACATTAGTTAAAAAGTAACATATTTATTAAGATGAAAATATTAATTATTATGAATGTATAAATATACAAATTCTATACAAATTTAATTTTTGTTATGATTACTTTCATGAATTAAATGCGATCTATACATCGCATTTAATCCATTTAATTATTACAATTATTATAGTAAGAACTACAAACTGTTCTTGATTTACACTTTTACTCGCAAACTCACGTTCGCGATTTAATACCCGAGGTAATCGAAACTTGTAAAAATATTGCCACTAATCGACGTTAGGTTCACTTTGGTTCAGTTGTCCCGACTATTTTTATGCGCATCTACGCCGCGCCTCCTGGAGTCTCTTGCTATTGGTTAGAAAACTTTTTCTCTGTTCTTCTCTTTCTATTAGACTGGAAAGTCACGACACCAGCGCAGTCTTTGCTTGGAGTCAGTGAACTAACTTCAGCGTTACACCTCTCCCATAAGGAGTGTCGACCACCGTAGTGCGTGGGACATGGCTAAAAAGAGGGGATTCGAAGATTTTTCAACATTAAATCATGTTTATTTAAGAGTATTACGGTAAATTAATCTCATAAGGTTAGTTTTGCTAACGTATAAAAATGAAGACTGCATTAATGGTGGCTGAGAAGCCCTCTCTGGCTGCCTCGCTTGCCAATATACTAAGCAATGGCAGGTGCTCATCGAGAAAAGGTAGGTTAGGATTCCGGTATTACTGGATCCTGATTACTGATTTTTTGTAGTTTTTGTTGTAAGTTGATGGAGATTTTATAATAATTTAGGCGAAAGGTGTCCTCGACATTCTTCAGTTTCATTATGTGGTGTTTCAGGATTGAATGGGTCTTGCTCCGTTCACGAATGGACGGGCCAGTTTAAATCAGAGGCTGTAAACTTCAAGATGACATCTGTCTGCGGTCATGTAATGAGTTTAGACTTTCTTGGAAAATACAATAATTGGGACAAAGTGGACCCTGTAAGTCCTTTACATTAATTAAATTTAGAAATTACGGTTGACGAGTTACTTTGGATTGTAATTATCTGTTTATTTATGTCAATGCGTTAGGCAGAATTATTCTCATGTCCTACCGAGAAGAAGGAAGCTGTGCCCAAATTGAAAATTCCGTACTTCCTGGCGAAGGAAGGAAGTCATTGTGACTATCTCGTTCTGTGGCTTGATTGCGACAAGGAGGGTGAAAATATCTGCTTTGAGGTTATTCATGCGGTACAACAAGGAATGAGCCACAAATTGAATCCCAATGTAATAATAATCCCTTATTCTACATTGCTGACAGGGCGAAATAGACTTTTTGAAACTTTTGTCTTTAGGATATCTGGCGTGCTCGATTTTCTGCCATTACAGAGAAGGATATCAAAGCTGCATTGAATACTTTGGTAAAGCCAAATGAAAATGAAGCACGAAGTGTAGATGCTCGTCAAGAACTTGATCTGCGGATTGGTTGTGCTTTTACACGCTTTCAAACAAAATTCTTTCAGGTAAAAACTGCATTCAATATCTACTTGCAATATAAATGGAAGTATATCCTTTGATGCTTAATTCTATCTTCTGTAGGGAAAATACGGCGACTTAGATGCATCTCTGATATCGTATGGTCCTTGTCAGACGCCAACTTTAGGCTTTTGTGTTCAACGCCATGACGAAATACAAACTTTCAAGCCCGACGCATATTGGATTCTTCAGGTAAAAGAATCATCAATTCATTTTATTATTGTGAATCTTCCATTATCACTACATCGTTTTGTTAGATCGGTTAATTGGTTTAAACTCTACAGTGCTATCCAATCTACAGCTAATATCTCCATTCCAATTCATTTAGGTGTCTGTTAAATCAGTGGATGGTCAAGACGTATCGTTACACTGGAGTCGTGTTAGATCCTTTGACAAGGAAATCGCTACAATTTTCTTAACCCAAGTTAAAGAATACGATCAGGCAAAGTAAGCAACAGGGATCCGACTACGTAACGTGAAGCAAAAAATTCACAAGTCCCATAGAAGCCCAGATCCTATGTTAGCGCTTGATGCTCTAAAAGTGGCTAACAAACCACAAGTGGGGGTAAAAGAGAGATCGCACGTGTTAGCCAACGATATCTCACATACAGGAGGATGAGAGACGCATATAGAAAGGCGAGTATTGGGTGTAAGATAAAGAAAGAATGCAATTCGGTATGTATCGTCATAAGATTAAAAGAGATGGAGAGATGATTACAGCGCCGCCATCCGTTGGCTAACATACTATTTATCGAGCATCGAACGTCGTATCCTTCTGGGCTTCTATGGAAACTTCTGAATTCTTTGCGTGAAGTCATGCACGAATAGAAAATTCTGAATTTCTCCCACCACTAACAAATGTCCTAGAATCTGTTTATGTTCCTCTCTCTCCTTTATTTACCCATTTAAATAAAAGCAGGAAGACGCAAGAATTGCATGTAATAAGATGTTTTCAGGGTCTTGAGCGTGCAGAGTACAGAGAAGGCAAAGCCAAGGCCAATTGCCCTTAACACCGTTGAATTGATGCGAATAGCCAGTTCTGGATTGGGAATGGGACCACATCATGCTATGCAGATCGCTGAACGCCTTTACACTCAGGGATACATAAGCTATCCTCGAACAGAGACCACGTCTTATTCTGAAAACTTTGATTTAATGTAAGTAAATTCTTATTAACTAAAATAATGTTTGCTAAAAATAGTGAAATATGCCGGGATTGTTAGAGGAACGCTGAGGCAGCAGCAACACAGCTCGGAATGGGGAGACGAAGTACGGAGGATTCTATCGGTGGGTATAAATAAACCGAAGAAGGGTCATGATGCAGGGGACCATCCACCAATCACCCCGATGAAACACGCATCTAGGAACGAGCTGGATGGAGACGCGTGGAGGTTGTACGACTACATCACCAGACACTTTATTGCCACGGTAATTTCTGCTCCGATAGTTACACCTCCCTCCGGTGAGAGCTAGGTAATCACCCTTATATCTCATTCGCTAGCTCGCTGGTGATTGCAAGTACCTTAGTACCACGGCGAAGTTCGAAATTGGCACGGAGATATTCACAGCGACGGGTCACTCGTTAATAGATCCTGGATACACCAGTATTCTCACTTGGCAGACCCTCGGTGCCAACGAGACGCTGCCGAAATTCTCTGTCGGTGACAGAGTCAACATCCAAGAAGTCAGTGAGCTCGCCATTTTTCACCTCTGCCATTTATCGTACCCTCGAAACCGGGGTCCAGCCGGTAGATCAACTTCCTCAATGTTTTATATTTAGGCCAAGATGGTGGAATGCTACACGCAGCCGCCTGATTACCTCACCGAGTCGGAGCTAATTTCGCTGATGGAAAAACATGGAATTGGCACCGATGCCTCCATTCCGGTGCACATAAATAACATATGCATCCGCAACTATGTCACCGTAGTGGCTGGGAGGAAACTGGTCCCGACGTCGCTTGGTATCGTGCTGGTCCATGGTTACCAGAAGGTAGCCTGAGTCATGTATTCAAGAATGCCGATAACTAATCAAGAAGAGAATCGCAAGATCTATTTGAGTCTGAGGCTCGTACTCATACCTCACTTTCGGCGTTAAAAGACGTCTTTTACATAAAATCCTTGAATAGCTTTAAAAAAACCTCTTTTACATGTAATCTTTAAATGTCTAAAATACGTCTTTTATGTGTAATCTTTAAGGTGAAGTGAAACACGTCGAGGAACTTGATCGACGTCGATAAAGAAGATTTTACTAAATGCCTACGTTGCCGACGTTTGTTTTTATATTGACAGCTGGGTCGAATTATATTGGGTATTGTACCAAATGGCATACTCCACCTGTCGTTTTCGTACGATAATTATAAAGAAATCGAAGTAAACCTCCAGAAATTCTCTGGATGCGTGCTTTCTGGGGCCCTAATTGACTGCAGAGGGACTCCCTGCGCCATCTGTGATTTCCAGATCAATTAAATTTTCCCTCCGAGACTTCTTATTACCATCGTTTTAGCATAGAAGCGCATACAACACTTTTTTTGCCTTTATCCCGTTCAAATGCGAGTTTATCGATTACCAGAGTGTTCTAAATTGTCGTAAAATTGTCCTGACCCTTTCGATTCTCATATCAGAGCCTTCGATAATTGTATATCGATCGAAATATGAGAGCTCGACGCCATTTTGGTTCTGGTCTGGGCTGAGTTAAAATGTTTTTTTTAAAAATCCAAATTTTGAATGTGCCAGGACAATTCTTAGATGATCAGGAGTGATGTGTCAAAGTTTTGGACAATTTGGTCTAATGCCCTTAAAAAAAAGTGTTGTATTCGAATCGACTGATTTGAAGGGGGTTTCACTTCACCTTAAATGGCTGAAATACATATTTTAACGCAAAAATGGAAATACGAGTACAAACCTAAAATTCTTCGTCCGCTTACATTGCAGATAGACCCGGAGCTGGTGCTGCCGACGATGAGGTCTGCCGTGGAGGAACAATTGAATCTGATCGCACTCGGTAGAGCTGACTTCCACGCTGTCCTGCAGCACACCGTGGAGATCTTCAAGCAGAAGTTCTACTATTTCGTGCAAAGCATCGACGCCATGGACCAGCTGTTCGAGGTGACGTTCTCCCCGCTGTCCGCGTCCGGAAAATCCCATTCTCGGTCAGTAACCAGCTAGGGTGGGAAGTGGTATTTCAAGATAAGAAATATCCGGAGATAAGCAAACGAAGCAATTATTCTCAGGTGCGGCAAGTGTCGGCGGTACATGAAGTATATACAGACGAAGCCGTCTCGACTGCACTGCTCCCACTGCAACGAAACGTACAATCTACCGCAGAATGGTAATATTAGGATCTACAAGGAGTTGAAGTGTCCACTCGACGACTTCGAGCTGTTGTCCTGGTCTACCGGGACCCGCGGCAAAAGCTACACCTTCTGCCCTTATTGCTACAACAACCCACCCTTCAGGTAACACCCTCCACCAGGTCACGAGGTGTCTCTTGTTAGATCATATAAGGAATTGCATCCTGACGTGTCCAGGGACATGAAGAAGGGAATGAGCGGCTGCAACTCCTGCACCCATCCGACCTGTCCCCATGGGATGAACTCCAATGGGATATCCAGCTGTCCGGAGTGCGACTCCGGCATCCTCGTCCTGGACCCTTCGGCAGCGCCCAAGTGGAAGTTGGGCTGCAACAGGTGTGACGTGATCATACACCTATTCGAAAACGCGCACAAAATTACTGTAGACTCGGAGGTCTGCGACTGCGGCGCACAGATGGTCACAGTCGAGTACAAGCAGGTAGGTTTATTTTTAACCCCGTTTAAGGTGAAGTGAAACACCCTTCAAATCAGTCGATTCGAATACAACACTTTTTTTTAATGGTATTAGACCAAACTGGCCGAAACATTGACACACCCTGATCATCTAAGAATTATCCTGACACGTTAAAAATTTGGATTTTTTAACAAAATTTTGTAACTCAGCCCAGACCAATACCAAAATGGCGTCGAGCTCATATTTCGATCGATATACAATTATCGAAGGCTCTGATATGAGAATCGAAAGGGTCAGGACAATTTTACTACAATTTAGAACACTCTGGTAATCGATAAACTCGCATTTGAACAGGATAAGGGCAAAAAAAGTGTTGTATGCGCTTCTATGCTAAAATGATGGGAATACGGGGTCTCGGAGTGAAAATTTAATTGACCTGGAAATCACAGATGGCGCAGGGGGTCCCTCTGCAGTCAATTGGGGCCCCAGAAAGCTTGAATCCAGTAGATTTCTGGAGTTTTACTTCGATTTCTTGATATTTATTGTACGAAAACGACAGGTGGAGTATGCCATTTGGTACAATACCCAATATAATTCGATGTAACTTTCAATATAAAATCGAGCGTCAGCAATGTAGGCATTTAGAAAAATCTTCTATATCGCCATTGATCAAGTTCCTCGACGTGTTTCATTTCATCTTAACAATTCACAATGTCATATTGCGATTTTATAACACTCCTTAGGAAGTTTCATGGCATATCCTAATTTTACAAAATTTTCTTTATATATTGTGTAAATATATGATATAAATTCCTTAGACGAGGGTAGAGATTTACCTGCACGCTTTCAGGAATTTATAACATGTTACCGTGAAATCAGGAATTTATCTAAACAATCGTAATGTATGAGACAAAAATTATATTTAAAAAATGTTTATATAGAAGATCTAGAAAATGAAATGTTTCATGGGTGCCCTCCAAGTTAAGGTGAAGTGAAACACGTAGAGGAACTTGATCGATGTCGGTATAAAAAGTTTTTCTAAATACCTACGTTGTCGACGTTCGTTTTTATATCGACAGCTGTGTCAAATTATATTCAGTATTGTACTAAATGTCATACTCTATCTGTCGTTTTCGTACAATAATTATAAAGAAATCGAAGTAAAACTAGAATTCCTCTAGATTTATGGTTTCTGAGGCCCTGAGTGACTACAGAGGGACCCCTGCGCCATCTGTGATTTCCGTGTCAACTAAATGTTCACTCCGAGACCTCGCATACCCATCGTTTTGGCACAGAAGTGCATAAGACACTTTTTTTGCCTTTATCCCGCTCAAATACAAGTTTATCGATTACCAGAGTGTTCTAAATTATCGTAGGATTGTCCTGACATGTTCGTTTCTCATATTAGAGTCTTCAATAATTGTATATTATTCGAAATATGAGAGCTCGACGCCATTTTGGTTCTGGTCTGGGCTAAGTTAAAACATACTTGTCGGAAATCCAAATTTTCAAAGCGTTAGGATAATTCCTAGGTGTTCACGAGTTATTAATTATGTTTCGGATAGCTCTTTGGAATATTCTTTAAAAAAGTGTCATTCGAATCAATTGATTCGAGAGGAGTTTCACTTCACCTTAAGGTGGCTACACACGTAAAGAAGAATCGTAAAGTTTTATACTCTGTACAGATCAATCTGCCGGATCGGTTTTTATAGATTTATCGCAACCAATCATCGTTACCTGTTTGATCGACATTAAGGTGACTGCACACGTAACGACAGATCGTTAAGGGGATGTGAAAGTGGCATTCGATAGGTCAATCGCTCGTGAAACTTTTTTACGAACAGGGTATATTGACTCGTTTCAAACTTTACAACGAGAATGTGGAGGTCCTAAGGTAAGTCCTGAAACTCGTGAAACTTCACTTTTTGTAAGAAATTTTGGAAGCATCTGTAAACAAATTTTTGAAAAATTGAAATTTTCTGGGTGTTAGCACCTTTCTTATAGCCTCCACATTCACATTGTCAAATTTGAAACGATTCGGTACACTCAGTTCGGAGAAAAGTTTCATAAACGAGACGCCACTTTCACATCACCTTAAGGTGAAGTGAAACACCCTTCAAATCAGTCGATTCGAATACAACACTTTTTTTTAAAAGCATTAGACCAAACTGTCCGAAACTTTGACACATCACTCCTGATCATCTAAGAATTGTCCCGACACATTCAAAATTTGGATTTTTGAACAAAATTTTTTAACTTAGCCCAGATCAGAAACAAAATGGCGTCGAGCTCTCGTATTTCGATCGATATACAATTACCGAAGGCTCTGATATGAGAATCGAATGGGTCAGGACAATTTTACGACAATTTAGAACACTCTGGTAATCGATAAACTCGCATTTGAACGAGATAAGGGCAAAAAAAGAGCTGTATGCGCTTCTATGCTAAAACTATGGTAATACGGGGTCTCGGAGTGAAAATTTAATTGACCTGGAAATCACAGACAAATTTAAACCCTTTAGTTTCTCATATCAGAGCCTTCCATAATTTTATATTGATCGAAATATGAGAGCTCGATGCCATTTTGGTTCTGGTCTAAGCTAAGATAATAATTTTTTTAATAAAATTCAAATTTTCAATGTGTCAGGACAATTCTTAGATGATCAGGAGTCATGTGACAAAGTTTCGGACAGTTTGGTCCAATACCCTTAAAAAAAAAGTGTTGTATTCGAATCGACAGATTTGAGGGGGGTTTCATTTCACCTTAAGCCGTTACCTGTGCAGTTTGAAAAGAGAATACAAATTTTGAATGTGTCAGGACAATTCTTAGATGACCACGAGTCATGTGTCAAAGGTTCGGACAGTTTGGTCCAATACCCTTAAAAAAAAGTGTTGTATTCGAATCGACTGATTTGAAGGAGGTCTCACTTCACCTTAACGTGCTGAATTTCCAAATGATTCGATACACTTAGGAGAAAAATGTTACGAGCAAGATCTTTCGCCGCCATTTTTGTGTCACTCTAAAACCGCGCGGTAATTGATTTTTCATTTTAGGATAAAAGCAAGCTGCCGAACGAAGCCACCGAGATGACGGGCTGTGTCTTTTGTACCCCGGCCTTCATGTCGTTGGTGGAAAAACACAGAGCGGTCGCCTCGAAGCCGGTGGCCACCCGAGGTCGAGGTCACGCGAAAGGTCGCAGTCGGGGCAAGCCCAGACCCCCCAAGGACAAGATGGCACAGCTCGCGGCTTACTTCGTCTAATCCTCTGTCATATGTCTCTCCATCCATCTCGCATCTCACCTTTCCCCTGCGAAGCCTACGGCAACGACGGCATTCGCCCAGGTAATCGACGCTCAAGTTTAACCTGGCCACCCACGTAACGGTAGAACATGGCGATTTATGATCTATGTAATTCATTGGAATTTTGTCACGTGGGCGGTTTAGAGATACTGCGTCACTAGTTAGTTCGAGTTCCTGCCACATGGCACGTTTCAGGCATCCATCTCGCATCTCACCTTTCCCCTGCGAAGCCTACGGCGACGACGGCATTCGTCCAGGTAATCGACGCTCAAGTTTAAGCTGGCCACCCACGTAACGATAGAACATGGCGATTTATGATCTATGTAATTCATTGGAATTTTGTCACGTGGGCGGTTTAGAGATACTGCGTCACTATTTAGTTCGAGTTCCTGCCACATGGCACGTTTCGGGCTGTCTTTTGTACCCCGACCTTCGTGTCGTTGGTGGAAAAGCACAGAGTGGTCGCCTCGAAGCCCGTGGCCACCCGAGATCGAGGTCACGCGAATTCATTACGTAATTCATTCTAATTTCTTCACGTGGGCGGTGTACATACCTGCGTCACTATTTAGTTCGCGTTCCCGCCACATGGCACGTTTCGCGCTGTGTCTTTTGTACCTAGACCTTCGTGTAGTTGGTTGAAAAGCACGTTTCAGGCTGTGTTTTTTGTACCCCGACCTTCGTGTCGTTGGTGGAAAAGCACAGAGTGGTCGCCTCGAAGCCCGTGGCCACCCGAGGTCGAGGTCACGCGAATTCATTACGTAATTCATTCTAATTTCTTCACGTGGGCGGTGTACATACCTGCGTCACTATTTAGTTCGCGTTCCCGCCACATGGCACGTTTCGCGCTGTGTCTTTTGTACCTAGACCTTCGTGTAGTTGGTTGAAAAGCACGTTTCAGGCTGTGTTTTTTGTACCCCGACCTTCGTGTCGTTGGTGGAAAAGCACAGAGTGGTCGCCTCGAAGCCCGTGGCCACCCGAGGTCGAGGTCACGTGAATTCATTACGTAATTCATTCTAATTTCTTCACGTGGGCGGTGTACATACCTGCGTCACTATTTAGTTCGCGTTCCCGCCACATGGCACGTTTCGCGCTGTATCTTTTGTACCTCGACCTTCGTGTAGTTGGTTGAAAAGCACGTTTCGGGCTGTGTTTTTTGTACCCCGACCTTCGTGTCGTTGGTTGAAAAGCACAGAGCGGTCGCCTCGAAGCCGGTGGCCACCCGAGGTCGAGGCCACGCAAAAGGTCGCAGTCGCGGCAAACCCAGACCCCCCAAGGACAAGATGGCACAGCTCGCGGCTTACTTCGTCTAATCCTCTGTCATATGTCCCTCCATCCATCTCGCATCTCACCTTTCTCCTGCGAAGCCTACGGCGACGATGGCATTCGCTCAGGTAATCGACGCTCAAGTTTAACCTGGTTACTCACATAACGGTAGAACATGGCGATTTATGATCTATGTAATTCATTGGAATTTTGTCACGTGGACGGTTTACAGATACTGCGTCACTATTTAGTTCGCGTTCCCGCCACATGGCACGTTTCAACAAAGAATTGAAAAGTCCCATAGAAGCCCAGGGCCTGTATTACGTATTTTTGACGAGAGCGCTCACTTTTCGCACTTTCATCTCACGAGAGTTTATCCGCCGAATTACGTATTCGTTATATGAAACAACGAGATCACTAGCATTTCTGATCTAGTAATATTGTTAAATACAGGTAGATACCTTGTACATCGAAAATCGTTGAGAGGTAGGGTGTTATAGACAGGAAAGGCGGGAAGATGAAAAGTCGTTAAAAGTAAAGAATAGAACTCGAGTCTATGATTCACCATTTCGCTTAAAAATTTGTGCCGAGCTAATTCATATGCATGGTCTCGCATTTTCACCACCAAAAACGTTCCGTAATACCGTGGGCTACTAATTTTTCACATTTTCATTCAATTTGCTTTATGTAATAGACCCCCAGATCCTATGACAGCGTATGATGCTCTAAAAGATGACTAACCAACCAGAAGATGATATGATTCACCATTTCGCTTAATAATTTGTGCCGAGCCTATTCATATGAATGGTCTCGCATTTTCACCACCAAAAACGTTCCGTAATACCGCGAGCTACTAATTTTTCACATTTTCATTCAAATTGCTTTATGTAATAGACCCCCAGATCCTGTGACAGCGCATGATGCTCTAAAAGTTGACTAACCAACCAGAAGGGGGGGTAAAAGAAAAAACGCATATGTTAGCCAACGATATCTCACATACGGGAGGAACAGAGACGCATATAGAAAGGCGAGTATTGTGTGTAAGATGAGGAAAGAATACAATTCGCTATGTATCGCCATAAGATTAAGAGAGATGGAGAGATGATTACAGCGCCGCCATCCGTTGGCTAACGTACTATTTATCGAGCATCAAACGTCCGTATCCTTTTGGGCTTCTATGGAAATTTCTGAATTCTTTGGTGCCAATAAAACTGTGCAACCGCGGGTGGAAAAATAAATTGAAAAAATTAAGTTGTTCCGGTAAACTATGTACGATAAGATACCGGAAAAGATTCGCTATACACGCGTCAGTTAAAATCTGTATAGATCGGTTTGCGCAGAGCTATCGGAATTATTTATCATTCTAAGGGTACCTTAAGGTGAAGTGAAACAGGTGGAGGAACTAGATCGACGATCGGTAAATAGAGATTTTTCTAAATACCTACGTTGCCGACGTTCGTTTTTATATCGAGAGCTGGGTCTAATTATATTGAATATTGTGCCAAATGGCACACTTCATCTGTCGTTTTCGTACAATAATTATAAAGGAATCGAAGTAAAACTCCGGAAATCCTCTAGATTTATGGTCTCTGAGGTCCTAAGTGACTACAGAGGGTCCCCTGCGCCATCTGTGATTTTGCGTGTCAACTAAATTTTCACTCCGGGACCTCACATTCCTATCGTTTTAGCACAAAAGCGCTTAAGACACTTTTTTTTGCCTTATCCCGTTCAAATGCGAGTTTATCGATTACGGGAGTATTCTGACATAAGATTATCCTGACACTTTCGTTTCTCATATGAGAAGCCTTCAATAATTATATATTGATCGAAGTATGAGAGCTCGACACCATTTTGGTTCTTGTCTGGCCTGAGTTAAAAAATTTGTTTCAAAAATCCAAATTTTGAATGTGTCAGGCATGTGGCAGGAGTTTCGGACAGTTTGGCTCAAACCCTTAAGTTGAAGTGAAACATCCTTCAAATCAGTCGACTCGAATACACCACTTTTCTTTAAGGGTATTGGACCAAACTGTCCGAAACTTTGTCACATGACTCCTGATCATCTGAGAATTGTCCTGACACGTTCAAAATTTGGATTTTTTATAAAAATTGTTTAACTCAGCCCAGACCAGAACTAAAATGGCGTCGAGCTCTCATATTCCGATCGATATACAATTTTCGAAGGCTCTGATATGAGAATCGAAAAGGTCAGGATAATTTTACGACAATTTAGAACACTCTGGTAATCGATAAACTCGCATTTGAACGGGATAAGGGCAAAAAAAGAGTTGTATGCGTTTCTATGCTAAAACGATGGTATTACGGGGTCTCGGAGTGAAAATTTAATTGACCTGGAAATCATAGATGGCGCAGGGGGTCCCTCTGCAGTCAATTGGGGCCCCAGAAAGCTTGAATCCAGTGGATTTCTGGAGTTTTACTTCGATTTCTTGATATTTATTGTACGAAAATGACAGGTGGAGTATGCCATTTGGTACAATATTCAATGTAATTCGACCCAGCTGTCAATATAAAAACGAACGTCGGGAACGTAGGCATTTAGATAAATCTTCTTTATCGCCGTTGATCAAGTTCCTCGACGTGTTTCACTTCACCTTAAAAAAAAGTGTTTTATTTTAACCGACTGATTTGAGGGGGATTTCACTTCACCTTAAAGGCAGCCGGACGCGTAACGATAAATTGGAGCGATTTGTAATCTGAGGAAGTAAATCGAGTTCTACAGCGTCCACTAGTCAGTCAGATCTATACGGATTGATTTTCACGAATTCGTTACGCGGATAGCCATCTTTAAACTTAAAGTTACTCTTGATTTTCCGTGAGGAAAATTTGGGGTTCCCATTTTTAGTCCTAATCGATAATATGTATAAGTATCGTTCACTATTGTCCTGGGGACCGATCGTCGATTTTTTGTAAATAACCATTTTAGGAAATAAAGAAATCTCGGGACAGATCCGGATCAAGATCTACTCCTGTTTTTAGCCCTCCTAATCGGTAAGAAGTAAAAGCTATTAATCATTAACCAGGTGGTCGATTGCAGATTTTTTTGTTTAAACAACCGTTTTAGAAAATAAAGAAATATCTGTACAGACTGAAATCGAAGATCCAGGAGCGAGTCGTGGGAGGAAATCGATTCGTCGAAGGAACGTCACCCTGGGGGTTTGGAGCTTTTATTCGTCTATTCTTCCCAGGACGTCAATACAACCTCTCTCTTTCCGCCGTTAAGGTGGAAACACGTCGAGGAACTTGATCAATGTCGATAAAGATTTTTCTAAATGCCTACGTTGTCGACGTTCGTTTTTATATTGACAGCTGGGTCGAATTACATTGAATATTGTACCAAATCGCATGCTCCACCTGTCGTTTTCGTACAATAATTACAAAGAAAACGAAGTAAAACTCTAGAAATGCTCTGGTTTCATGCTTTTTGGGGCCCTAATTGACTGCAGAGGGACCCCCTGCGCCATCTGTGATTTCCAGGTCAATTAAATTTTCATTCCGAGACCTCGTATTTCCATCGTTTTAGCGTAGAAGGGCATAGAACCCTCTTTTAGCCTTTATTCCGTTCAAATGCGAGTTTCGAGATTATTAGTGTTCTAAATTGTCGTAAAATTGTCCTGACCCTTTCGTTTCTCATATCAGAGCCTTCGATAATTGTATATCGATCGAAATATGAGAGCTCGACGCCATTTTGGTTCTGGTCTGGGCTAAATTAACCCTTTGCGGTCGTATGTCTACTCTCAGCCACCAAAATTCTCTTGATCTTGGGAACATGTGACCGCAAAGGGTTAAAAAAATGTTTTCCAAAAAGGCAAGTTTTTAATCGGTCAGGACAATTCCTAGATGATCACGAGTCATGTGACAAAGTTTCGGACAGTTTGGTCCAATACCCTTAAAAAAAAGTGTTGTATTCGAATCGACTGATTTGAGGGGGGTTTCACTTCACCTTAATCATCAACCGGGTAGCCGAATGCCGATTTTAGTTTTAACAACCGTTTTAAGCAATAAAGAAATATCTGTACAGATTGGATTCGAAGATCCAGGAGCGAGTAGTGGGAGGGAATCGATTCGTCGAAGGAACGTCACCCTGGGGGTTTGAAGCTTTTATCCGTCTATTCTTCCCAGGACGTCAATAGGACCTCTCTCTTTCCGCCGTTAAGGTACTCTTTCTCTCTCTCTCTCTCTCTTTTTCTCTCCGGTTTTCGCGGGTTTCTCTCGGGTAATGTACGCGCCAAGTTGAGCGCACTTTATGGGCCCTCTCGCCTGAAAGCCGGCCTCTCGGGGGATTCCTTTTCACCCTTCACCTAAGTGCACACACGCTCGTCTTTTCCTACCCCGCAGAGTCGAGTCGCCGATATATCCGGCTTTGCTCCTGATCTCCCGAGATTTCCTGTGTAAACCTAAGCCGCCGAGCTGAGACGTCTCTCGCGTTGCACTTTAAAGAGGGGAGAGAAAAACACGGCAGTTTAAGGTGAAGTGAAACACGTCGAGGAACTTGATCGACGTCGATAGAGAAGATTTTTCTAAATGCCTACGTTGCCGACGTTCATTTTTATATCGACGGCTGGGTCGAATTATATTGGGTATTGTACCAAATGGCATATTCCACCTGTCGTTTTCGTGCAATAATTATAAAGAGATCGAAGTAAAACTCCAGAAATCCTCTGGATTCGTGATTTCTGGGGCCCCAATTGACTGCAGAGGGACCCCCTGCGCCATCTGTGATTTCCAGATCAATTAAATTTTCCCTCCGAGACCTCGTATTCCCATCGTTTTAGCAGAGAAGCGCATACAACACTTTTTTTGCCTTTATCCCATTCAAGTGCGAGTTTATCGATTACCAGAGTGTTCTAAATTGTCGTAGAATTTTCCTAACACGTTCTTTCCTAATATTAGAGGGTTCAATAATTATACGGTATTCGGAATATGAGAGCTCGACGCCAGTTTGGTTCTGACCTGGGCTGAGTTAAAAAATTTGGTTAAAAAATCCAAATTTTGAATGTGTCAGGACAATTCTTAGATGATCAGGAGTGATGTGTCAAGGTTTCGGACAGTTTGGTCTAATACCCTTAAGAAAAAGTATTGTATTCGAATCGACTGATTTGAAGAGTGTTTCACTTCACCTTAACCCCTTGGTTTACTATTTAAATTCCAATAGCGTGTGCCATAAACAACAAAAATGTCGATCATACTGTTATGCCGCGAAGGGTAAAGAGGTTATCCTCGAAGAATTTGTTAAGGTGATGTGGAACCCCCCCCCCAAATCAGTCGATTTGAATACAACACTTTCTTTGAGGATATTAGACCAAACTGTCCGAAACTATGACACATCACTCCTGATCATCTGAGAATTGTCCCGACACATTGAAAATTTGGATTTTTCAACAAAATTTTTTAACAAACCAGACCAGAACCAAAATGGCGTTGAGCACTCATATTTCGATCAATATACAATTATCGAAGGCTCTGATATGGGAAATGAAAGGGTCGGGACAATTTTACGACAATTTAGAACACTTTGGTAATTGATAAACTCGCATTTGAACGGGATAAAGGCAAAAAAAGTGTTGTATGTACTTCTATGTTAAAACGATGGGAATACGAGGTCTCGGAGTGAAAATTTAATTGCCCTGAAAATCACAGATGGCGCAGGGGGTTCCTCGGCAGTCAATTAGGGCTCCAGGAAGCATGAATCCAGAGAATTTCTAGTTTTACTTCGATTTCTTTATAATTATTGTACAAAAACGACAAGTGGAGTATGCTATTCGGTACAATACCCAATATAATTCGATATAACTGTGAATATAAAAACCAACGTCGGCAACGTAGGTATTTAGAAAAATATTCTCTATCGACGTTGATCAAGTTCCTCGATGTGTTTCACTTCACCTTAAAGTGTTTAATGGCAGATAAAAAAAAAATACGTATCGCTTAGTTTTTAGTCTACTATAACATATTATAAAAGAAATGAAATCGGAGAGATCGACCTGGGATACCTTCCTTGTCTAGGGAAGAGCCGAGCCGACTTTAAACGCTTGCGGAATTTACCCTGGGCGAACGAGCTCGTTAAATCCTGGCGACGAGCTCGAGCCGGCTGGACTTACACATCCACGTCCTCGTCCACGTCCACATCCATAGGTATCCTCTATTTCCCGAGTTTCAAGACACTCGAATGGTAATTTAAAGGACGCGGTGCAGACTGTGCCGAGCCATTTGCCCGGCGCGGCCGCCCATTAAGAATTACGGCGCGAATTATTTCCGCCCACCGGGCGGCGTTTCGGCGATAATTAAAACGCCCCTTCCCAAGCGGCTCTCTTTACGACGTCCCTCGCATACTGAAACATGCCATGAAATCCTCCTCTTTCCTCTAATCGCTCTTTTTTCACTTTCCTCCATTTCGTTTCAGCGAAAGGGACGACTACGTGGGATTATTCCCGCTCAGGCCCACCGAACACGATTACGTAAGAGTAAGGTGAAGTGAAACACGTCGAGGAACTTGACCGACGTCGGTAAAAATTTTTCTAAATGCCTACATTGCAGGCGCTCGTTTTTATATTGACAGCTGGGTTGAATTATATTGGGTATTGTACCAAATGGCATACTCCACCTGGCGTTTTCGTACAATAATTATAAAGAAATCGAAGTAAAACGGCAGAAATCCTCTGGATTTATGATTCCTAAGGCCCTAAGTGACTACAGAGGGACCCCTGCGCCATCTGTGATTTCTGTGTCAACTATATGTTCACTCCGAGGCCTCATATTCCCATCGTTTTAGCATAGCAGAGCGTAAAACACTTTCTTGACTTTATCCCGTTCAAACGCGAGTTTATCGATTACCAGACAGTTCTAAATTGTCGTAAAATTGTCCTGACCCTTTCGTTCCTCGGTTATATTAACACTTAGCCGACCGAACGGGGAGTTCTCCTCACATTAAAGTGTTAAGGTGAAGTGAAACACCCTTCAAATCAGTCGACTCGAATACAACACTTCCTTTTAAAGGTATTAGACCAAACTGTCCGAAACTTTGACTCATCACTCCTGATCATCTAAGAATTGTCCTGACGCATTCAAAATTTTCATATTTTAACAAAATTTTTTAACTTGGACCAGACCAGAACCAAAATGGCGTCGAGCTCTCATATTTCGATCGATATACAATTATCGAAGGCCCTGATATGAGAAACTAAAGGGTCAGGACAATTTTACGACAATTTAGGACACTCTGGTAATCGATAAACTCGCAATTGAACGGGATAAAGGCAAAAAAAGTGTTGTATGCGCTTCTATGCTAAAACGATGTCAATACGAGGTCTCGGAGTGTAAATTTAATTGACCTGGAAATCACAGATGGCGCAGGGGGTCCCTCTGCAGTCAATTAGGGCCCCAGAAAGCATAAATCCAGGGGATTTCTGGAGTTTTACTTCGATTTCTTTATAATTATTGTACGAAAACGACAGGTGGAGTATGCCATTTGGTACAATACCCAAAATAATTCGACCCAGCTGTCAATATAAAAACGAACGTCGGCAACGTAGGCATTTAGAAAAATCTTCTTCATCGACGTCGATCAAGTTCCTCGACGTGTTTCATTTCACCTTAATCGATATCCAGTATCCGTTTCGTTGTAGAAAAAAAATGTTGAAAATTTGAGAAATCTGTCCGCGAGCCAGTGGAACGACCCAACACATCGTGAGCTCTTTACTTCGTCGGATTCATCGCGTTTACTATATCGATCGCCGATATCAGTCGCGATTGCGAGCTCGTGCTCTCCACAGTGCAGGTGGCGAAAAGTGAAACGGCGTTTTTTCCACACCGGGGATTATATTTCCATTCCGCGCCGTCATGCTGGGGTGGATGAAACGCCGGATAGAATATCCGCAAGCCTGCAACAATGTCCGGGAAATGGATTAACTTGTTAAGGGAATTCCTGGTCCGCCCGAGAAGCGACGATTAATCATCCTTGGGTATTAATTATGGCGCCTTCGCTTAGGGGAACCATTTCTCCTCGAAAGAAGGCGAGCTTGGGACGAAAGCCCGCCATCATCGTATCGAGATTACTGCCTGAATGTCCCCTCTGGCCTGGCAAAAAAGTGCGTACTCGGTGGAAAAAGGAGCATAAAAAGTGCACCGTCGTGTCGTCCACGTGAGCGGTTGTTGCTGTCCTCGGGGCGTAAATCCGGGACCTCGCGATTTACAATTAAGGTGGAGTGAAACACGTCGAGGAACTTGATCAACGTCGATAAAGAAGATTTTTCTAAATGCCTACGTGGCCGACATTCGTTTTTATATTGACAGCTGGGTCGAATTACATTGAATATTGTACCAAATGGCATACTCCACCTGTCGTTTTCGTACAATAAATATCAAGAAATCGAAGTAAAACTCCAGAATTCCCCTGGATTTAAGCTTTCTGGGGCTCTAATTGACTGCGGAGGAACACCTTGGGCCATCTGTGATTTCCAGGTCAATTCAATTTTCACTCCGAGACCCCGTATTACCATCGTTTTAGCATAGAAGCGCATACAACTCTTTCTTTGCCCTTATCCCGTTCAAATGCGAGTTTATCGATTACCAGAGTGTTATAAATTGTCGTATAATTCTCCTGACCCTTTCGATTCTCATGTCAGAGCCTTCGATAATTGTATTATCGATTGAAATATGAGAGCTCGACGCCATTTTGGTTCTGGTCTGGGCTGAGTTAAAAAGTTTTTTTAAAAAATCCAAATTTTGAATGTGCCAGGACAATTCTTAGATGATCAGGAGTGACGTGTCAAAGTTTTGGACAGTTTGGTCTAATGCCCTTAAAAAAAAGTGTTGTTTTCGAATCGACTGATTTGAAGGGTGTTTCACTTCACCTTAAACTCGCGAACACGAAGATAACGCGACGACCATACGCCAACTTAATATTGTACGGCTGGTTTTAAAATGAACGTGGACCTGAGCTAAACTGCTCTTATGGTCGGGTGATTTCTGTTGAAATCCGTATGCTGGTTCTCCTGTTGAGAATTGACTGGTTGAAGTTATTGAATCAAGTCGACTGGTTAAAATGTGGGAACCAAGTCGACCGATTGAAAGTAGTGAACCAAGTGACGCTCTTTGAGGATCGCAAAGCTCTCGAAGGTAGCGTCCGCATGCCTCCCTCGCAGAGTGGAAGTTAGACAAATTTGAGATTCTCGAATCAGAGAATCGTGTGGGAGGAGTAATGTTGGAAATTCTGAAATTACTTGAGTTTTCTCCGGAAAAAATCCCCCAAAAATGTAAAGGAGGGATTCCTCCAATGCCGATTGGTTAACTGCCTTGGACGTGCCAAATTTTTAGGTGCCGCCCTTTACTTCGTCCTTGAGTGTCCCAGGTGACTCGCACATGGGGTCGTCCGAGATCGACAAGAGTTGCCCGGGCACGGAAAGTTCCAAGTACCACTAGGTAGTCGAACACTTGGGCGCCTTGGAGTCAACCTTTTTATGGGTTTATTAGAGTTGGACCATTGGAAACCGGAAATTTAACAAATCCAAGGATTTTTTTGAGAATAAATGAAACCGTGAGCGTGAAGCAATATACGTCGCTCGGTTCGACGTTTAAAATAAATTGCTACGACCGCTGTAAAGCGATAAAGAAACGCGAAGGAAAGTTGTTCTCGGCATTGGGGCTGAAATCCTGAGAATTTGAGAAATCCGATTCTTAACCACTTGCGCTACGATTTAATTTTCGGTTGCCGTGCCACGCTCTACAATATAACATGCGGCATAACATCCGTACAAAATACCCTATCGATTCTGAAATATTTCCAAGATATCGATGACGCTACGCGATGTCGTGCACTCTGGAACTGTAGCTGGAATAATGAACGATCCAACTGTTAGCCGACGTGCCGGACACGTCGATTTTGTTTCTGCGACAAATGCCTAACGACGTGGTATACATGTCGCTGGCAGTTTTGGAACAAAAGCATCTCGACGTGCGTGGCACGTCTTTATAGCGCAAGTGGTTAAACATATGGTTGAAACTAATGTGTCAGGATGTATGTACGCAACAAAGAGTGCGACCGGCTTAGGACGTGAATCCGAGCTCGTCGGCGATCACCGCCGCCTGGATGCCTCCCTTGACCGTCGACAGGGGTACGTCAAAGGACCAAGAGTCCGCTTCAGGGTCGTAGACCTCCACCGTTGCTCTGTACCCGGAATCGTTGCTCCCTCCGATGGCCCATAGCTTCCCCGCGTTCGCGACGAGCGCCAGCCCACCTCGCCTCTCGTTCATGGGGGCGACGAATTGCCACCTGGAAAGATTCCACATAAGTATTGTATGAATGTATACGGTGCCAACAGAATTCCCGCTTGCGGTTTACACGCCATCATACATGAAAATGGAGTCAAAAAGTCCTGTACAATTTTCTTCTATGGAGTATGGTTTGCTTGTGATAGGTACTTGAGGAACAGCTAACCGGGCGCGTCGATCAGTCGCGATATCTTTGATTCAATAAATTACTACGAGTAAACTATGTACCGTTGATAACAATTGTACAGGACTTCATGGGCTCCAATTTCAATGAGGATAGTAGGGTGTAAACCGCGAGCTTGAATTTTGCATACACCCTGTGTAGCTTTATCGAGTGATCCCTCTCCAGAATTTCATACAAGATGAGGCTACCGCACCTGTCGGCGACCGGGTCGTACACCTCGACGGATCGCAACGTCCCGCAGGCGTTGTTCTCGTAGGCAAAGCCTCCACAAGTGTACAGTTTTCTGTTGAGTACTGCAGTTCAATCCGAAAAGTCCTGTACAATTTTCTTCTATAGAGTATGGTTTGCTTGTGATAGGTACTTCAAAAACAGCTAACCGGGCGCGTCGGTCAGTCGCGATATCTTTGATTCAATAAATTACTACAAGTAAACCATGTACCGTAGATAACAATTGTACAGGACTTCTTGGGCTCCAATTTCAATGAGGATAGTAGGGTGTAAACCGCGAGCTTGAATTTTGCATACACCCTGTGTAGCTTTATCGAGTGATCCCTCTCCAGAATTTCATTCAAGATGAGGCTACCGCACCTGTCGGCGACCGGGTCGTACACCTCGACGGATCCCAACGTCCCGCAGACGTTGTTCTCGTAGGCGAAGCCTCCACAAGCGTAGAGTTTACCGTTGAGCACTGCTGCTCCATGCATGCATCTTCTGGATAACATCGGAGTCGCTTCTCTCCATGACTCCGTTCTGGGATCGAACCTCTCGACCTGGTGCAGGAAATTGACGAAAAAATGTATTATAATACACGTGGTCCCTTAAGGTGATGTGAAAGTGGCGTCGAGGAGGTTTTGTTTATAAAACTTTTCCCTCAATTCGGTTTACCGATTAGTTTGAAACCTTACAACGTGAATAGAAAGACAATAAAGAAGGTCCTGAAACTCATGAAATTTCAATTCTTTTCAAATTTGTTTATGGGTATTTCAAAAATAGTTTACAAAAAATGAAATTTTGCGAGTTTCAGGACCTACCTTAGGGTCCCCATATACACGTTTTAATGTATGAAACGATTTGAGACACCCAGTTCGTAGAAACGTTTTATGAACAATTGAGCTTTCGGATGCCGCTTTCATATCCCCTTAAAGGGTTAAAGCCGATACCCGGGAAGTCATCCTGCTCACCGAGTCTAAAATAGGTCCATCGGGTTTGCCATGGCCACCCAGGACGTAAATGCACCCTCGAAACGCCTCCACGCCTGCGTCCTCGCGTTTCCTGGTCATCGGCTCCACCTCCTCCCACTGGTTCCTCTCCGGAGAGTATCTCTCGACGGTATCCAAGGTGGTGCTGTCGTGGAAGCCTCCGCAGACGTACAGGTACTCGCCGAGAGAGGCGGTTCCGGTTTCCCTGCGAGTATCGGATTTATAATATAAAGAAAATTTCATTGATTGTGTTCCTTAAGGTGATGTGAAACCCCCTTCAAATCAGTCGATTCGAATACAACACTTTTTTTAAGGGTATTGGACCAAACTGTCCGAAACTTTGACACATCACTCCTGATCATCTAAGAATTGTCCTGACACATTCAAAATTTGGATTTTTTAAGAAAAATTGTTTAACTCACCCTAGACCAGAACCAAAATGACGGGGTCTCATATTTCGATCAATATACAATTATCGAAGGCTCTGATATGAGAAACTAAAGGGTCAGGACAATTTTACGACAATTTAGAACACTCTGGTAATTGATACACTCGCAATTGAACGGGATAAAGGCAAAAAAAGTGTTGTATGCGCTTCTATGCTAAAACGATGTCAATACGAGGTCTCGGAGTGAAAATTTAATTGACCTGGAAATCACAGATGGCGCAGGGGGTCCCTCTGCAGTTAATTAGGGCCCCAGAAATCACGAGTCCAGAGGATTTCTGGAGTTTTACTTCGATTTCTTGATATGTTTTTGTATGAAAACGACAGGTGGAGTATGCCATTTGGTACAATACCCAATATAATTCGACACAGCTGTCAATATAATAACGAACGTCGGCAACGTAGGCATTTAGAAAAATCTTCTTTATCGACGTCGATCAAGTTCCTCGACGTGTTTCACTTCACCTTAAAAGCATCAAGCGCTAACATAGGACCTGGGCTTCTGTGGGACTTCTGAATTCTTTGATAGGAGTCACGAAAAAGAGTCAATCCTCACATCCGTCTGTGTTGCATCGGGGCTATCGAAGTCCAGGTATTCCTCCTACAGCAGTAGACCTCCGCGAATAGGGGCCCCTCTTCTCTATCGTAGCTCATGACGTACAACTTGTCCCCGTGCGCAGCCATTCTACCTCCAGAGATCCTGTCCCCGGTCAGGAACTGTAAGAGATCCCATCTGTCTGCAAAGTTCAGTCGAGATTATTTTTCCTTTCGTCCTCTTCTTCTTTTACATTAAGGTGAAGTGAAACCCCCTTCAAATCAATCGATACGAATACAAATCTTTTTTTTAAGGGAATTGGACCAAACTGTTCGAAACTTTGTCACGTCACTCCTGATCATCTAAGAATTGACCTGTCACATTCAAAATTCGGATTTTTTAAAAAAACTGGACCAAACTGTCCGAAACTTTGTCACTTTGTCACATTTGTCACATCACTCCTGATCATCTAAGAATTGACCTGACACATTCAAAATTTGGATTTTTTATAGAAATTTTTTAACTCAGCCCAGACCAGAACCAAAATGGCGTCGAGCTCTCATATTTCGATTGATATACAATTATCGAAGGCTCTGATATGAGAACCGAAAGGGTCAGGACAATTTTACGACAATTTAGAACACTCTGGTAATCGATAAATTCGCATTTGAACAGGATAAGGGCAAAAAAAGAGTTGTATGCGCTTCTATGCTAAAACGATGGTAATACGGAGTCTGGGAGTGAAAATTTAATTGACCTGGAAATCACAGATGGCGCAGGGGGTCCCTCTGCAGTCAATTAGGGCCCCAGAAAGCACGAATCCAGGGGATTTCTGGAGTTTTATTTCGATTTCTTTATAATTATTGTACGAAAACGACAGGTGGACTATGCCATTTGGTACAATACCTAATATAATTCGACACAGTTGTCAGTATAAAAATGAACGTCAGCAACGTAGGCATTTAGAAAAATCTTCTTTATCGACGTCGATCAAGTTCCCCGACGTGTTTCACTTCTCCTTAACTCATTCGATACTCACTCATGTCAGAGTCGTACACCTCAATTCCTTCCAGGGCGTCCGCCAGGTCAGTGTACCGCCCTCCCTTAGCGTATATATACCCCATGGTATCTTTCTGGATAAATAGAAATGAAATTTGAGATGAACCCGATACGATGAAAAGTGAAGATTCTAGAGACAAATCGACGAGAAGATAGATTTGCGTCGCGCGTACCTTGAAGACTGAGAATGCTCCTTGTTCCGTCGCTTGTTTTCGATTCTTTTCCTCCTTCTAAATTCCTCGGGCACTCACCTTTGAGTCATCGATTCCTGCTCGAGGAAAAAGTTTCTCATGCGAGCCTGAATTCTGCCAGCGCGAGTATTTTCCTTCGGAAAGAGAGGGAGATCTTGAGTACGCTCTTGCGCGCTGCTACAATCGGTAAATGGTAATTTCTAAAACGGAAAATGTAAATAAATTAAAGATTCTCTATATATGACTGTCTAGCGGTATTTGAGCCGCTCAGTGCACACATTGATTAACTCCATAAAACAAAAAGTTGAGAAATGCGATGAAGTAATGTAGATTCTTTTTTAAAATTCCTATTATAATATAACTTCAAATATATAATGTAGAATACATAAATACAGTTATAGTTTTCATTTAACGGTATATAAAATTAATAAGAAAGAATAGCCAAAAAATAATCGTCTGCATTTTATATCGACAAATGTTTTTGCAGGTATTAAATTTCCTCCCCTATTCCTGTATGCCAAACCTTTTGTTCCGTTATGCTTTTGTAAATTTCGTGCCCATTTATCAGGATTACGACTTCTTTTCCTCCCAATCGATGTGTTTGTTGGGGAATTTGTACCGTTGCAATCGGATGAATCCGAGAAACACGATAAACGTCTTCTTGCCCCAGACTTTCTGCTGATAAATCGTATTGAAGAATCATCCCTGCTTTCCACATCCACATTGTTATTAGTTTCACTCATCTTGATTATAACGGTATAATATTTAGTTCTTTAAAAACAATCAGGGAGTAATGTTGAAAAGACCAAAAAATATGTAGTCCGTGTAATATTGGTGAAGTATACGGTAACATTCAGCGTGAGAGATCACTGTTATACTAACTACCGTCTGCATTGCGCTTCTTTCTATCTGTTTGCTGATGCGATTTTATTACTCATATTGTTGAAAGGGGGAAAGCATCTTCGGCTGTTTAAAAAAAAAAGCGTCGATGTACGGCCGCAACAGATAATCCAATAATACTATACTGCCAGGTATTCGTCTACGATTTACAGTAGAGTATGGAGTTAATCAAAATGGCTTCTGAAATAAATTACTTATTATTCAATGCCCAAAAAAATTTTGCCGTTTAATGGTGTTGATCTCTATTAATCAGGAAAGATATTATAAATATAAAAAGTTATGACTATACCAAGTGCTTTGACACCTAAATTTAAGGTTTTTCAAAAAGTGTAGTTAGTCGATGTGTACACTGAGCGGCTCATTTAACAGTTTCTACTTTAGTCGTTACCGAGCGCCGCCGCTCGACATATTACGCGCTTGCGCCGCTAGATGGCGCGCGGAGCATGGACACGGCGAATGGAGAGAACGGAGAACGGAGTAATTCTTGATTACCGATTGCCCGATCGAAGGCTAAAGAAGAAGGTTAACCATAACTTTTGGATAGATATGGGCCCCGAGAAAGTGATTTAATCATGTTTCTTCGTTAACTTACCGGGAGATCCTGGTATTACACGGTTCTTGGTAAGCGAAGTTGCGGCGTGACTCGGACGAAAAAGAGGTTAGTCCCGAGTCTGGCCACGAGCGGCAGTGGCGCTACCGGCGGATGATCGGCGCGTCCGCTCGAGAACGGCCATTACCCCTGCAGCAGCCGAGCGGAGCGGTCGCGTCGAATTTCGACCGATACTACCTTGAATGGGATACCCTAACTGAAAATACCGGAAATTGGTAAAGCAGAGTCTTAAGAAATTAATAGGGTCATCGGAGGACAAACAGACGGAAGAATACGTTTAAAACCACAGGTACATCCACCTTTGCTCCAATCTCGGAGTTCCCGAAAGATCTAATAACGGAAGATCCAGGTAGAGTCCGTTCCCAAGTATATTAAATAGAAGAGATCAAAATCCTCCTACACTCCATAAAAAGAGTCCCCAGTCCGAGAAAAATCCTTCTTTCCTCCCTCGCTTCCCTGAAATCCAAGATGGCGGCGCGCATACCCCCTGCACCGGTCCACCCTCGAGATGCACCTCACGCGAGACCACCCTCTTCTCTGTCGCGTAGCCCGCGACCGAGGAGCGATCGATGACGTCATGCCGCGGCCGCCCGTAGGGTCAACCCTGTCTCGCGACACCCCAAGTCGAGAGAGAAAGAGAGAGAGGAAGAGAGAAACGGCGCTACCCGCATATTCGCAGGTCCGAGACAGAGGGGGGGTGGAAGTGGGAGGGGGAGGGAGACGCAGCCGGTGCAGAGCCGGCACGACCGTCCCGATCAGTCGGTGAGCGTACGTCGTGCCGGGCAGACGAGCTCTCTCCCAGTCGGGACCGCGCGCGAGGGAGCGAGAGAGACGACACCCATAGGGTCGAGAAGGGCGAGGGAGTGAGACGAGAGACACGGGGGAAGAGGCCGATGCTCCCCGAGCGAGGGTCCAGCGCCGACAGGGGGGGCGGGCAGGGGGCAGCACCGAGTCGATGAGGAGCCTCCCGGCGCGCGAACCGCAGCCTGGCACCGCTCGACCTGGAATGGCCTGAAGCGGCCGGCGAGGACGCGCCGCGGCGACGGTGGCTCCTTCTGGGGCAAGGCCGCCGCCGCCATGAGGTCCCTCGGCCCCACCTGGCCCCCCTGGGTCGCCGTCGCCGCCGCGGTACTCGTGCTCACCGCAACGCACGGCGTCGCGGCCTCGGCCCCCACGCGCCGCTGCAACCTCACCGGCGACGGCCGCGAGCTCGCCTGCCGCGGGGCGGGATTCGCTTCCGTCCCCCTTGTCGAGTCCGCCGGCCCGCCCGGGGGACCCAGGATCATAGGCAACAACGTTACTAAGATGTGAGTACCGGTGCTTTTTGGGGGAGAATGGGAGGGACACGTCTCGCGTTTGCGAAAACGCGACGGCGTGAAAGAGGGAGAACGCTCGTATGCAGGGTTGGGTAGAGGTAATACGTCACCTAATATACGTGGGTTTCTCCGCGCGTATGCAACGCGTAATACGGTTCTAGTTTCCTACGTGAGCGCCCTTGTATTTCTAAATAGAAAATAAAAAATCCAATTTTGAACACAAACGCCAAATTAATTATTTCGTAAAAATGTTTACATGTTTGTATGTGCGATAAAAGACGTTTATAACCTAGCGGATACATGCGTATATCGCGCACCTGCATCGTATGACAAATTGAAAACGTACAATTCTAAACAATTTTGTACACAAACGGCAAATTAATTTATTATTCTTTAAAAATATTTCCGCATTTACATAGGCACTAAAAGATGTTTATATCCTAGCGAAAGGGGTTATGTAGGTATAATACCTCATGTAATATACGTGGTTTTCTCCACGCATATGCAACGCGTAATACGTTTCTAGTTTCCTATGTGGGCGCCCTTGTATTTCTAAATAGAAAATAATAAATCCAATTTTCAACACGAACGCCATATTAATTATTTCGTAAACATTTTTACATGTTTGTATGTGCGATAAAAGACGTTTATTACCCAGCGAAAGGTATGTAGGTTTAATACCTCGTGTAATATATGTGGGTTTATCCGCGTACGTTTCTAGTTTCCTACGTGAGCGCCCTTGTATTTCTAAATAGAAAATAATAAATCCAATTTTCAACACGAACGCCATATTAATTATTTCGTAAAAATGTTTACATGTTTGTATGTGCGATAAAAGACGTTTATTACCCAACGAAAGGTATGTAGGTTTAATACCTCGTGTAATATATGTGGATTTATCCGCGCATATTACAACGTGTAATACGTTCCTAGTTTCCTACGTACGTGCGAAGTATATTACGCCCTTCTATTTTGTAAATAGAAAACAATAAATCCAGGTAGAAATTTGATATTAAACCGGGTTAAGTCGAAAGAATTCTGAATGCAATCGGCAAATTATTCTTTAAACATTTTGATGTGTTTACATGCGGGCTAAATAACGTTTATAACCTAGTGGATGCATACGTATATCGCGCACCTGCGTCGTATGACAAATTGAAACGTACAATTCTAAACAATTTGGAATGCAAGCGGCAAATTAATTGATTATTCTTTAAAAATATTTCCGTATTTACATATGTGCAAAAATACGTTTATAACCTCGCGAAAGCCTTATATCAGGGTTGGGTAGGTATAATACGTCATGTAATATACCCTTAGTAGCACGGAATAATTTCTATATATTTTCTTGAAATATTTGCTACATATTTCAAGCGACAGATTTTTAATGATATCTTGTAGATTTCATTTGAAGATATCCGAGATATTAGTTGATAATCTGAATGGCATATTTAGTTTGAATAATTTATAAACGTACAATTTATACATATACATTTTTTACTTTACAATTATTATCGAACACCTCATCTGGCATCAAGAAGCACGACAAATTTTTGCAATATTTTCGTCGCGCTATTTCATTATGGAAGCGAAACGTGTGATTGTGATTTTAAATATTTTTAAAACGTTTATAATGTATTAGGCAGATTATATTTAAAAAATACTCACATTAAAATGAAACGGAATGTTGTATACTTGTGAGGAAAATATTACGAAAAGATGTAGAGCTAATATTATACAAATATTATAAATATAGTATTCTAAAGTAACTGTTTCGCAAATATCTCAAATG